CTTCTTTTCTTTTTTTATGCCCCTCAAAATTTATATAGCCCCACCACGTTGGGCACCACTTGTTATGGAAACACCCAGTACTTTAACTTCTCAATAACAACTATCTTCACAATTTCTATGCAAAGAAAATCTGTCCTGGCATTTTTTAAATTCCACTCTGACAACTTTTAAAAAAATTTCTAATGACAATCTATCGTCTTAAAAATCAAACAACAACATCCTTGATAATTTCACAATAAAATTCTTCTAGACTCTAAATCGTCCAGCTTTGCTAACTTGACATAATTTTAAATTTCATTATACGAGAATTTCCCTTATCAATATATAACAATAGCGGTCTCTTCCTCGCGCAAGCTCAGTCGGCTAACAGAGGTTGAATATTCACTCGTAAAGGGGCGAATTATAGTGAGAGTATTAATTATAGGGTGTTTACGAATAAAAAACTGTTAAATGTGGGACATGTAGATTCTCAACTAATTATCAATTTTTAACTTTGGAGAAGTTGTTTGAGTTTGAGAGGTCTGTTTATAATAAAATATTTCCTATAGTCAGACTAAGAATTATTTTGAAACAGCACGAATTTGTATCAAAGAGATCGACTGTTATTAACAAAGTGTTTCGCTCAGATGCACTCGGTGAACAACTTAGAAGTCCATAAAATATATATACTGACTTCTTAAAGAGCCTTCAATATGATAGATGATAGATCACAGTATTCTTTTGCAGAAGTTATATAATCTTGGTTTCGATTCCCATTTCCTGGACTTATTAAAGTCATTTAACTACTTGTTCTCTTTACGTTGAATTAACTCTTAACATTTAAAAGTGTAAGTTCATGAGATTTTCAAATGAGGTTTGAATAATATCTAATTTCTATATTCAATAGAAAACGCTTTGCTCATTTTCAAAAGTTAGGAACTTTACAAACTTCTTATAAATATTTTCACAAAGAAAACGAGAGTCTTTTATTGACTTTGACAGAAATATCGCTTACTGAAAAGTTACTAATTGGGACAAAAATTACTATACTTTAAATTATTAAGGTTAATATTAAAATCCCCTTACTTGCTTTGGGTGATAACGAAAACATAAGGAATGTCCCTGTTTTTTGAAATACTTAAGCGCATGAGTAGCTGTCAAGTTAACGTTGACGATATTACCGTCTATAGTCTGAATAAAAGAGGAGTGCAGTAAAAGTGAGGATATACCGTCACATTCTATAGGCTTACTTCCAAAATAAAAATTAACAAAAAAAAAGAATATTAATGTGAAATTTCTGGTAATGATCGAAAACCACTATATTTATAATTATGCTTTACATTTCACACTACTGTAATCTTATGCATTTAATTATAAATTATTTGCTTTACTGCGCAGTTATTAAAATTTAAAATTGTTGCTTTTAAATTAGAATCATATAAAAAATTATGCAGTTAGTGACACATTTACTAACGATGCATTTGCAGTTTCAGATAAACACTGTAATTATCGATTTTGTCAAATGGTATTGATGTTAACCTTGATAATGGAAAAAGACTGCACGGTTTGTTTAAATTGTCTTTATAAACAAATTAGATATTTTGATATCAATTAATTAATATGAAACTAAGTTGACCTTTCAAAGGTACGGTATACTACAAGGTTTATTGAACAATGCATGGAAAATTAGTAAACAATTTTACTGTTTTTTCAAATTACATGTTTTTAAAGCACATGAATGTATTTTTGAATTAGATCCAAATTATTAAGAGAATTATTTTGATGTTTGACCTTACCGTTTTTTATTATTACATTATTATTTTTTAAATAAAAATCGACTTCGACTTTCTGCACTAAAGTATGTACAGGGTTTTTCATTATATTTTGACCACAACTTGTTTCATTATTCTTTTGAACAAAAGAAAAGTTTCAAGTAAAAGCTTTGTTGTTTTACCGCTTTTTCGGCCACATTATAACCTATTAAGGCGGTTTCACACCAAACCGACTGGTTGAGATGCTGTTTTATTGCTGCCTTGAAAAACAAAACCCAATTAATTAAAATGAACAGATTGTTTAGACTAAACAGACAAATAAATTGCTGTTGAGTTTTTGAGTTCTGTTAACTACTTGATCTGGCAACCTGGGGATACGACATGTGTAAGCGCAAATAGAGATCGGTCTCCCACTATTATGAGTGCAATTTGTCAATTTTATAGGTTATCTTTCTAGTGTTATTTTTGTAACTAAATTTAAGTTTTAGTTGTGTTTGCACAATTTTTGAGTATTAAAAACTTTATAAAGTGTATAATGCCTAGATGTATACTTCGTTTCTAAGCTAGCAATACTCGTCTAAGTAAAAAATTTATTGGAATAACCTTTCATAGGTTAGTATAAAAATTATAAATATTGTATTATGGCAAGTTTGTATAAAATGTGTAAAGGTATGCTTTTAAAAATACAAAAAATATCATCCATCAAATTCTGAGCCTGCCTATATTGGAATAATCCTTTTTCATACGAAGTAATATTATTAGATTTCCGAAAAATTCTGAAAATCAAAAAGCGTGGTTACAATTTGTATGCAGGCATAAACGGGAATATTACCAATTCTGTGACGCTAAAGTTTTCTTTCTTCGAGGTAGAGGTAGATTTCTCTCGAGTTTTTTCCTCGAGAGGTGGTTTTCTCTAGTCCTTTTTCTGTTTTCATCGAGAGGTGGTTTTTTCTCGAGTCTTTTTCCTCGAGAATTTGGTTTCTCTCGAGTCTTTTTTCCTCGGGAGGTGGGTTCTCTATAGAATATTTTTTACGCGAGAGTTGGATTTCTCTAGTCTTCTTTCATCGAGACGTGGTTATCCCGAGTCTTTTTTCTTCGACGGTAACGTCGTTCTTTTCCAGAGAGTTCCATAAAGGTCTTTTTCCCTGAGCGTAAGTTTTTTTGAGTCATTTTTCCACTCGACGTGGTTTTCTCTCGAGTCTTTTTTTTTCGAGAGTTGGTTTTTTTTCGAGTCTGTTTTTCCTTGTAGTTTTTTCTTTGGGGGGTGGTTTTTTCTCGAGTCTTTTTTACTCGAGAGTTGGATTTCTCTAGTCTTTTTTTAATCGAGAGGTGGTTTTCTGTCGAGTCTTTTTCCTCAAGAGTTTGATTTCTCTCGAGTCTTTTTTCCTCGAGAGGTGGTTTTTTCTCGAGTTTTTGTTCCTCGAGAGGTGGTTTTCTGTAGTTCTTTTTTCTCTAGAGGTGGTTTTCTCTCGAGGTTTTTTTTTTCCTCGGGAGGTGGTTTCTTTTTTACTCGACAGTTGGGATTCTGTAGTCTTTTTTCTTAAAGAGGTGGTTTTCTCTCGAGTTTTTTTTCTCTCTAAAGGTCTTTTTCCTCGAGAGTAAGGTATTTTCCACGCGACGTGGTTTTTTCTCGAGTCTTTTTTTCTCGAGGGTGGTTTTCTAATGAGTCTGTTTTTCCTTGAAAGTTCGTTTCTTTAGTTTTTTTTCTCGGGAGGTGATTTTCTCTAGAGTCTTTTTTAAACGATAGGTTGTTTTCGCTCGAGTCTTTTTTTCTCGGGAGGTGGTTTCTTTTTTACTCGAGAGTTGGGTTTCTGTAGTCTTTTTTCATCGAGAGGTCGTTTTCATATGATAGCTTAAATAGAGATCTTTTGAAAACATATTATATGAAAATGATATTAAAAATAAGATAAAATGATTTAACACCTACCTTCTCTTTTTATTTGATAAACATGCGCCGTACGTTAAATCTAGGATTATAAAATCTTTTACACCTTCGCTAACTCTTACAATACATGACGTGATGAAAATAAGAGATAAGGCACTTTCTAAATATAAAAAGTCTAAAAACAACTCTGACTATATTTACTATAAAGATATTCGAAATTACTTCGGCTATTAGAAAAGAAAAATCTGCGTATCTCGCCCACCATTTTAAATCCGGTAGCTCTAAACCATTTTGGAAAACAATAAATTATTTAAATGTTAAAAATAAAGCTATAACTGGAATTTCTGAGTCTTTAAAAAATCCTACTGAGATAAACAAATATTTTTTATCGGTTTTTACCCCCTAGAAATGCCTGTCCATTAACCACTTATTATTTAAATTTAAACCTGATATACGTTTTTCTTTTCGTCTTGCTACTGTTGACGAAATAAGACAAATTGTTATAAATTCTCAAATCAACTACAGTTGGTAGTGATGGTATATCCGCTAAAATGATACAACTTTGTCTTAATGTAATCGCACCTTTTCTAACACATATCGTAAATTGTTGTTTAGAACGTGGTTATTTCCCTAATATTTGGAAATTTGCTTTATTGAAACCCTTACCTAAAATTCGAAATTCTGAAAGTTTTAGCGATCTACGTCCTATAAGTATTCTTCCAGCCTTCTCAAAAATTCTTGAAACAACTAATAGTAAGCAAGTGTACGAGTATATTTTTACAAATGATATTATTGGTAATAGCCTGGCTTCAGAAAGGGATTTAGTACAACTACCCTTTTATTAAATGTCAGTGACCACATAATAAAATCCCTTGATGAAGGGCCGACTACAGCATTAATACAATTAGACTTTTCGAAAGCACTTGATACTTTTGACCACTTTATTATGCGCTAAACTAAACTATTATGGTTTTGATGATACTTCTTTGAGATTCTTTAAATTTTACTTAAGCAATCTACATCAAAAAGTAGTTCTAGACAATAGTTCATCAAATTTTTCATGTGTAACCTCTGGAGATCCTCAAGGCTCTGTATTGGGTCCCTTACTTTTTCTAATTTACACTGCCAACATAAATTCAAATGTAAATTACGTTAAAATTCAAACTTTTGCCAATAAGAGTGGTGACAAGCCAATATTGTTTTTTTTTTCACCCAGTAAATGGTGATTACTATTGGGGTGGCATAATAAATAAGTGATTTCTTTATATTGATATCAGATGATTGAAAATACAAATGTATTGATGCAAAGAAAACAATAAGAGAATCATAAATTTTTCTATTAACTAAGGAATGTTTGTTTTCAGATGACGACCTCAAGAGAATTGATAATGGTTAACAACTGGAACAACTCATACAACAATCTATCATGCAACAAGGCTGTTTCAAACAACAACAGGCTTCTGACTGATTTAGTAGACAAAGGACGAAAAGATTTGAGAGAAGACGAAAAATCGAAAAAAGACTGTATTATCCATTTGAGGGAGTGGGTTAAGCAAAATCCTGATATTGAAAACTGCCCTACAGGTATGTGTATTGTAAAACTATTTTTATAGGTTTAAGTTTAAACTTGTAACCACAGTTCTCTCACTTTTATTATATGACAAACTCATAAATTTAAAAGTATTTGAAGTAAACATACAAAAACATTGATCGATCTTTTTTTTATTACATTATGAAACAATAACAAAACAAAGAACATTTTTAATAGTATATTATTCAACGAGCGGGAAATCATGGCTATTACTCACGAGGATGAAGTTTGCACTACGAGCCGCAGGCGAGTTGTGTAATCATCCGACTCAGTAGTAGCCATTACCCGCCAGAGAATACTACAGGATGGGCTACTAAAAGTTCCACCCCCCCTTATTGTCGTTATTCATTGGAAATTGGAATATTTTTATTTTGAAAAGGTAAATCAAACAAGGGTGGTCCTTAGGATCTCACAAGAGTATTTTATTAACGACCGGTTTCGAGGATCAAATCCTCATCATCAGGTAAGGTCTAAAAATAGAGAGGAAAAACGAATGAGCTCATAACTAATGGGTTTAAACATTTTAATATGAAAGTTGTCAAATATCAAGAACTCACCCGTAATTACTCATCTATTTAAGACTAAGCTAGTAGAATTATCCCAGGGTCGGTGTAAAAACAAGTATGCGAGTATTTTTTAAAAAACAAAAAATATAAAAAAACAATAGTTGCAACAAAAAGTTGATGTCAAAACACATAAACAAAAGTAGGTCTAAAACTATTAATAAAATTATTATTATTATTATAATAATATTAATTAACCAAATCAATAGTTTTTCTCTCTTTTCATTTTATCACCATTTCCTTTTCCGTTGATTGTTACCAACTTCTTAATTTGAATATTAGTACATCTAAAATTATTTTCCAACGCTAATGCTAGACTCTACTTTTAACAATAATAATTTATTTATTTCATTTTGTTTATTACGTACAAATTCAAACAATTCAGTTTATAAACCTATATTATTATTAAGAAACATTTATTTTTTCGCCAACGCCATCTATTAGCCGATGGTCAAAATATTTAAATTTGACAACCTCTAAACTGTTATCTTAAATATTAGAATGGTTAATTCGTCTATTTATATCTTGAGGGCGTTAATCAGTTATTAATCTAAATAAAATTTAATTCCTGTAGAATTATAAACACTTGTCCAAGAACCCATTTTAGTGCTTGTAGGGTTTTTTAAAAAGTTTTTAAATTTGTTTGTCTTAATTGTTCGTCCGTTCGTGAAATATTTTAATAATTTTATTAATAGTTTTAGACCTACTTTTGTTTATGTGTTTTGACATCAACTTTTTGTTACAACTATTGTTTTTTTATATTTTTTATGTTTTTTAAAAAATACTCGCATACTTGTTTTTACACCGACCCTGGGATAATTCTACTAGCTTAGTCTTAAATAGATGAGTAATTACGGGTGAGTTCTTGATATTTGACAACTTTCATATTAAAATGTTTAAACCCACTTATTAGTTATGAGCTCATTCGTTTTTCCTCTCTATTTTTAGACCTTACCTGATGATGAGGATTTGATCCTCGAAACCGGTCGTTAATAAAATACTCTTGTGAGATCCTAAGGACCACCCTTGTTTGATTTACCTTTTTGAACTTATAACTCACACATGGCTACCACCTTCAACTTTAATTTTTATTTTGTTTGAAAAAGTGAAACAAATACTTCCTTATGAAGGATTCAATTATTCTGTGACGTCACGGCTTACTTCCGGTTTTTCCGGAAGTAACAGAAAATCGCAATTTATTTTTATTTTTAAATTGAAACCCACTTTTTTTATTGTAAATTTGAATTTCTGGGACATTTTTGTATAATAATCGTGTATTAAAATTTTTCGGTAGCTGTCAAAATGGCAGCATTGGATAATATTTTTGTTCTAAACATGTTACTATTAAAAAATATTGGAATGTATAATCTTTTTAAAATCATTGTAAGCTTCAAAATTCCTATTGAGACTCACTTACAGTACACCAGTGGCGTATCTAAGCATTTTTATTATTAGCAAACCGTTTAATAATTCCACCCGCTCTTATCTTCCCTATTAATTGAGATATCGGAATGAACACTTTTTTGTTTGAAAGCTTGGAATAAATACTGTCAAATACTTCATTCAACTGGTCTGTGACGTCATGACTTTTTTCCGGTTTTTCGAAAATAACAGTAAATCGCAATTTATTTTTAATTTTTAAATGGAAACCCAATTTTTTATTGAAAATTTTAATTTCTTAAGAGTATCAATGTTAATTTATTATTGTATGGTAGGTCTTGTATTATTATATTAATTCTTTAAAGCTTTCTGATAAAATTAAGCTACTTTAAAATTTAAAACAAAAATAAACATTTTTTTAAATTTAAAGACCTGTTGCGTGTCGTAATAATTTATTTTTCTACTACTGTGCGTAAAGTACGCACGTTACGCACACCTCAGAGTGCATAATGTTTTACTTTTTTCAGTAGTGCGTAAAGTAAAATTTTTTACGCACTAGTGCGTAAACAAGACACAATTTTTAGTATTTTGACATGACAAATGACACATTTTATTTCAAATTTTCTTTACTCGCTAGTGCGTAAAGTAAAACAGTTTACGCACAAATGAGTAAAGTAATCTCTGTATTTCTAATCTTAGTACGGTAGTAGAAATATTGTATGCAATTCGTATGTAAAGGCCTTCTTTAAAGGTCACTTTATACACTTATTATTATTATAATATGTATAAATAACTATTGTTTGGTATTTGATTTTATCAGTAGTTAACTGATGTAGTGGTTATAAGCGCTGAAATCGTATACATTCAATTCGATGACAGACACGCTTAAGAAATAACAAAAATCTTAGATATGCCACCGGTATACTAATAAATGGGTCTCAATGGGAACTAAGAAGCTTACAAAGATTTTATACATTCACATATTTTTTTCCATAAACGAACTCACAGCATAATATTAAAAACAATATTCTCCAATATGACGGTCATTTTGACAGCTGACAGAAAATTTTTAATGTCAAAATCCCATATTTTTTCCATAAACGAATTAATAGTAACATGTTTAGAAAAAATATTATCGAATATGGCGGTCATTTTGACAGTTTACAGAAATGTTCCAATACCCGCTTCTTATCCAAAAATGTCCCAAAAATTCAAATTTTCAATAAAAAATTGGTTTCGATTTTAAAATAAAAAAATTCAGTTATATCCGAAAAAATCGGAAGCAAGCCATGACGTCACAGACCGATTGGATCCAGTATATAAAAGTATTTGTTATAAGCTTTTAAACAAAAAAGTTTTCATTTCTATATCTAAATTAACAACGAAGATAAAAGCGGATGGAATTATTAAACGGTTTGCTATTAATGAAAATGCTTAGATACGCCACTGGTATACGATAAATGGGTTGCAATGGGAATTTAAGGATTCAAAGATTAAAGATACATCCCTATATTTTTTTCCATAAACAAATTAATAGTAACTTGTTTAGAAAAAATATTATCCAATATGGCGGCCATTTTGACATCTGCCAGAAAATTTTAAATACACGATTGTTATACAAAAATGTCCCAGAAATTCAAATTTACAATAAAAAAAGTAGGTTTCAATTTAAAAATAAAAAATAAATTGCGATTTTCTGTTATTTCCAGAAAAACCGCAGGTAAGCCATGACGTCACAGAATAATTGTATCCGTCATGCGTCATAAGAAAGTATTCGTTCCAGTCTTTCAAACAAAAAAAAAAATTATTCCGATATGTCAGCGAATAACGAAATTAAGGAGGGGTGGAACTTTTAAGTGGCAATATTTTATTTCATTTATTTGTTCCAAAATTAATTGTGAAATTGGAAGTTTTAAAAATTAACAGAAGCTTTTAAATCCAAATCAACAGTAGTAGTTATATTTTTACTAGTCAACTGGTTTTCGCGTAGGTTGTAGTTGTGGTCCAATTTTGTTGAAAATAATTAAGTGATAAAGGAAATAATTGAGTAATGAAAAAAACTCACTGTATGAGTAACCATTTACATTAATCAATAGAAAGTGGATATATATATTACGTATATTGTTTAATAGTCGAAAAAAAGTTATTTCTTCAAATCCCATTGTAGTTTCTAAAATGACATAATGTGATGAAAATTAGTAAAAAGTCTATAACTGCCTTAATATGTGTTCTACTTAATTTAAAAGATTTCTCTACATAATTGAACTGCTCTGTCATTACATTTTTTTTGGACTATTACAGAAGTTTCAATTATTGCTGATAATTTGTATCCATTATCAACACATTAAATAATCTCAAATACTTTGTTTCTTTAACTTTTTCGCGTTAACTCACATGAGATAAAATAAATTTAGAAGTGTTTAGAGAAATAAAATTCCAGTCAGCACTAATAAAAATATTTAAAAATACATAGTAACAGTAGAGAGGTCCAAATATTTCGATTGGACAGTAGGAAATAAACATGGAGGCAGACAAATTGAAGTGGATGTGAATATTATGAACTTGGTTCTGTCTTTTAGTTCCTCAAGAATCTTTTATATCCCAGCAACGACTAAAGTGTTTTTGTTGTCTTAAGGGACATGAAAAAGTTGTTTCTTACGATGATGCAGATTGGTTACGTTTCTGAATTCTTCAGCATTGAAATACTGTGGTCAATCGACAAGCACGCTATTGATTATTTAACAAACATATAAATCATTATTTTTCCTATAGTTAAAGTCGTAAATTACGCGAAATTTGCAGTTAAATTAGGATTTTTTTTGAAAATCAACATTTCCTTTATTATATTGCCGATAATATCGTTTTATGATGCAATAAAATTTGTTATTCATGGAACAGTAGAAATATTACCCAAACTAATTAACTTTTTACATTTAAATAAAAGTCATTTATTTTATTGGTATGGAATTACAGAATTTTGTATTTTCAATTTTTTGGGTTTAGTCAAAAAATTATTAGACGAGCGCTTTCGGTTTTATAACAGTTAAAAT